GAGGAGAAAAATTAATTCTGCATTTGGTGGCAAGGGAGATCTTTATAGGAAAGGTATTTAACTTAGCTTTATGTAGATAGACAAGTGTTAGGGGGAGAAGTGACAGAAAAATATTCCAAGAAGAGAAAACGGGTCGGTAAGAGAGAAGGACGTGAAGACGCAGTGTTCGGGGCATGAGCGCTGACGTCAAGCAGCGTCTGAATCCCAGCTCTGCTCCTTGTTCTCCTTGTAACCTTGCGCAGATTCTTCTCCTTCCCTGTCTCTTGGCAGAAAATGGCTCTGAAAATTCTTCCCTGTCACAGGTGGGCTGTGAGGACTTAGGGAAAAGTGCATATCCATTTACCATTGGCACAGCCTGACTTATTATTTCCCTCTGTCTAAATTGCCATCAGCTGAAAAAGTAAAGCAATAATTGTCAGTTTTTTTCTCCTCTTAAGAAGCTGAACAAGCTATATTAAATGCACACAAGCTATATTAAATCAATTGTAAGATGCATCCAAATCTCAGAAATACTAAAATATGAAAAATTTGTATCATAGAATCAATGAAATTACATTAATATCAATGTTAGAGCCAATCTGCAAAAAATCTTTAATATAATTCTGAATATTTGGAGTTGATCCTGTTGTTAAAACCCTTTCTTGCTGGTTTCTAGGATATCTTGTTTGTAACTCTTAAATCATACTTTAAAGTTAATGTGTAGCTGTTTGTCTCCCTTAGAATTATATGGTCTCTGTTTATCCTGTTCTAAGCACGAAGTGAGCATTCCACAGACTGAAATTAAATAGAATCTGACCAACTCAGGGGTGGTTTGGGACTGAGACATGACCGTTGAGACCACAAGCTAGAATTCAAATCCATAAGCTCAGTGCCAAATAAATGCGAAAAGCAATTTCTATCTGGACCCTCTGACTGACTGACACCTCATCTCCCCTGAACCCCAACCTTGTGCTTGGTGAGGCACAAAAGAAAAACAGTGCCACACGAGGATCACCAGGACTGCCTAGGACCTGATTAGAAACACAAAGTCTCAGGCTCCACCCTGGACCTGCTGAGTCAGAAACTGAGGCTGAGGTCCAGCAATCACGGTTTTATTACCATGTTTCAGGACTTGGCAGCCTTTCTGACAGCCTCCCAGATCCGTGGTGGTGCACCTCTGGCATGCGTGCCGCAGCGGGGCTGTTTATTATCATGGGAAGCTCTAAGAGGTTCGCCATCACCATCCTGGATGGCACTGATGTTTTGGTCTCAGGACTACACTTTGAGAAGCACTGAACTAAGGATAGTTGAACTCAAGAGCCTCAGACATGAACAATTATTCTGAGGGCCCTGGGTTCATCTGAGCCTCTGTCTGGTGGGAGAGGTAAGTCTGCCTGAATGCCCTGAAGGCTATACGCCTCTCTCTCTAGTCCTCTGCCTCCTTGGGCTGTGCCTCACTTTTCTCCTAGCATTCTATCCACCAACAATGATGCTGAAATATTGTCCTAGGGAGAAACAACTGTGGTCCCATGGAGCATTATTAGCCGGAGCACGGGAGGACTGAGGTGTGAGATCCTGACCAGGTGTCTTGGGATCTTGTTACTGCAGATCTGCAGTTGTCTCTTCAGGCATCAGCAGCTTCGGCCTCCTCAGCAGATCCAAGGAAGCTCTGTTCGGGAAGTATGTGGAAGTAGCTCCCCAGAGTCTGAGCCCTGGAAGAATGACAGAGAGCAAGAATAACCTTCCCGCCATCCTCCCTCACCTGGAGACTCCCAGAGACACTCGCCAGATGTCCGCCTTGTCTTCAGCTTCCTCAGAGCAAAAGTAACAAAAATGCAGAAGAGCAGGAAGAGGCCTTTGGGATTTCTTAGTAAGCTCCAGCCTGACCTACCATGGCCAATTATGTGCACAAACTCTCATTAGGCTCACTCTGAAGCCAATTGGGAGAATATTCTGGATGTAGAGAGTATTTGTTGACTTATATAAGAGAGAGATTAGAATAGTCAATGCTCTGAGCTATAAACATTAAAATATGTGAGCTCAACATGCATGGGATTTTAATGTTGCAGAGACCGGACGAGACAGGCTCCTCCTTTCCGTAACTGTTCACGCATCCTCTCTACCACTGTTCTGTGGTAAGAGCCAGAACCCTGTTTGCCTCCATCTCTGACTAACGTAATCATTTACTGCATTGTTCACTCAAACATTAGTGCTAAACCACCAAACAGCTTCTCAAGGCCAGGGACTACTATCCTCCAAGTACTGTAACTCTTCATTTTAATCCTTAGGACACAGCAGGTACTTAATAAATGCTTACAAAATTAGATAATGTTAACATCAGCCTTTTGATCTCTGGTCATTATTTTCTTAGGATTGACCCCCTCTCCACAGAAGGTACCTCAGTTGTTATTTGTTTTTATTTTTATATTTTAATAAACTCATGCCTCATCTTGGTGCCTCCTTACATTTTTAGAAAAACTCAAAGGCTCCAGTACATATGAACAGCCTGACCTGGACCTCTAGCCATCACTTTATAAAGACGGCTCCTGACTGCTGGTGGGGGAGAGTAAAATATCAAAAAAAATTTTTACAGCTCCTAGATGCCACATGGACACCAAGAAAAGTGCCCATTACACCGTACAAGGGACATCAATGGACTGGTACAATAAGAAGCAAAACAAAAAACCCAAAAAAACAAAAACCAGAAAGCAGACATAAAAATGAAATAAGCCTCTGTGGCAACCCCACACCCCAAAGGAGGGTCTGACCCTGCCCCTCACCCCAGAACCCCCACTCCCAGAGACCCCAAAGTACACTTGAATTAAAAAGACATAGTTCACTTGGGAGCTGGGGGCTTAAATCAGGAAAAGATGGTGGAGATTCTCTGATGGGAGACTGGCTACCCCTAAAATGATGGCCCCTAGCTTTGCAAGGCAGTCCCACCAAGGGTCTCCCATGGAAAAAGTGACACGAAACAGTGACTGAGTCATGGTTTCTATGTGCTCGAGCTTGCTGCCAGCACTTTGGCTGTTTGCAAACAATGCCTAGTCTGCACCCAGAACAACCCAAACCAAGGGTCCCTCAGGCCCTGAGGAATTGAAGATGCCACTGCATGTAAAAACTTGCTTGTGGACTTCACTGAGCTGCCCCAGCCAGGAGGCTATCAATGTGCACCTTCTCGGGATGGCTTAAAGCCTTCCCCACCCAAACAGAAAAGACACTAACAGTGACAAAGGGGCTGTTAAAGGATATCATCTCAAGTTTCAGACTACCCCTGATTTTGGGAATCAGACAATTGGCCAACATTTGTGACAGACAGTTTAGGGGCTCACAAGGATGTTAAAAATAAAATAAAAATTACATACAACCTCTTGTCCTGTGTCTTACATATTTGATGGGCTTAACAAGGAGTGCCCCAATAGCCCAGGTTACACGGCCTAGACAGAAGACTGTGTTTGTTTTGATACATCGGTGGGGGGTGGGGGGGAGAATAGTACCAACTAGTCCCTTTTCAAGGGTCACAATTTTGTTTCGCTTTGATTCTTCGGTTTTTCATATGAGGGGTCATTGGGTCTGTTCCACAGTCCCCTGGGCTGGTTATGTAAGCTGGAATATACAGTCTCAAGCCCTGCCTGCCTCAACACACCACACCCAAAGCCCTACTTTGCGGTGAGTCTCCCACGTTGGCTCAGTACCTTTTCTGAGGTTGCTCCTCTTTGGAGTCCAGGTGTGAGAAAAGCAGGGCCTTGGTTCTTTCTGTCCTTAGATTTTCAGTCACAGTAGTGGTTGTGTATACACCATCACCCAAAAGAAGCAGGTCCCTCCAGTCAGTCAGTCTCTCTCTCTCCTCCCCACTCTGTTCTTCCAGAAAACTTAGAAAACTACTTTTGTACCCTCTACAGTTTAAAATCCATCATTACTCATCAATCTTTGGTGATCTTCCTACTCAAAGACTTTTGAAATTCAACACAAACCATTTTGACCTTTTCTAAGATTTGACCTCTTTAGGCTAGAACTTTTTTCAGACCCTATTTGAGAGTCAAAGTAAAAGATGCATTCTTCTTTTGGGCTCACACTTGCCAATCTCTCAGCAGCAATAGATATCTAATGCGACATAAGGAGAAAAATAAAGCAGTAAAAATAACCAGAAATTACATTTACGATTTCACAGTGTGAGGCTTTTATTTTACTATTATCAGGTGAATTCAACAGAGCCTGAGCTGCGGCTGGGCTGGAGAGACATCCGTCCCAGGTCTCTGAGGTCACAGCTGAGGTCACAGAGTGCTGAGACAGGAAGGTGATTTAGGGGCAGGGCTGCTGTGATACGGGATCAGTGAGGGGAGAGTCTTAGAGGGTCAGGGGCCCACCAAAGTGTGATCTGGGGAGCCAGCCGGGTAAGTTGACTGGGTTCCTGGCTGGAATTCAGAAGTGGGGAAGGGTGGAGTGGGAAAAGTAGTAGGGAAGTTTCTCAGAGGAAGATTTACCTCTTACCTGAATCACTGCGTCAGCCTTTCAGTCACATGTGCTCTTGACAGTGTCGACTACAGGGTCCCATACAAGACACATACAGGCTGGAGCTCACGGACCGCCAACCTGTAGTCCTGTTCTGAGCAGACTGAGAGTATGCTGACTGTGAGGAGGGATGGGGTGCGGATCTATTATCTTCAAATCCGTATCTATTACTTCCTGCTCTTGCCTCAGAGTCCAGGAACCTCTGGTCAGCTCCCTTCCCCAATTTGTACATATTTTTTGCTTAAATTATTAAGGAGATTTTACTTAGGGCAAATCTTCTTACCCCCAACTTTCTTTATACATATGTACGTGCGCGCGCGGGCACACACACACACACACACACACACACGCTGACCCATTTCACACACAGGTGCTTTCTGAACTGCGGAGCCCAGGACCAACCTGCCTGTCCCCTGCGTAAATGCTTTTCTTCTCACTACGCACCTGCCCTCTCCCCCTCTTTACTCCTCCCCAGGACCTGGAGCGATTTCCACCTTCAGTTCCAGAGTCTTCGGCTTTGTGCAAGAGCAAATGGAACAGCATCCTCTCCAGGACCAAGAACAAAAGGGGAGCACGACACCCAAGCAGCAGGGAAAGTAAGCGGGGCCAGTGGGACCCTCAGCAAACCTTACGCGGGGTGTTTTCTGTAGGAGAACTAGGGTCAGCTGTCTCCCTTCTCTTCATCCGGCAGCATTTATTTCCCGGATGGGGGATGTGGGGACTTTCATGTGTTTCTTCTCTGTTAGTTGACTGATACATCCTAGGAACACTTACTCATTTCAGGGCAACTTTCTCTAAATCCTTTAAGTCCTGTAAAATGTGAATCAAAACCAGCCGTCTAAAGCCATGCCTCACCGAAACAGGGTTGTAGAAAGAGCCAGCAACAGTTGCTTGAGGCTAATTATGAGACCCAGAATGTTAGCCATTAAGTCAGAACAAAAGGATTTCCGTGACCTTACACATCAGGAAAGCTTCAGAAAGTAACTGGAACTTGGATTAAGCCTTTGAAGTATGCAGCAGATGTTCTCCCGTAAAAGCCTTTTAGCAATTAGGGAAGGAGAGAGTTTAAAGTGTCTTCTAAATTTCTTGGCTGCCTTTTATTATTTAAATGCTCAGAATGGTTACCTGGGTCTCAAGCCTAAGAACCAGTAAGGACTTGAGAACCCTGAAGCCTGGAAAACAGTGGGAACCTGCTCTAAGAATGTGAGTGTCTTCCTGACAGCTGCAGGACTCTGAAGGGGAAATAGTGAGTAAACACAGAATCTTACAGTTCTCTGTGAAAAGGCGCATAAACTACACCACAGCCCCAACTTCTTTGCTGATCAACAGATGGTTTCTACAGCATAACTAGGAAAGGCTGTACGAATAACACTGAAACCAATGACGCTTAAAATGAACTTAGTTATAAAGACTTTCCTGCCATCTTCCCCTGAAAGCCTTGGGATAAGATTCTTACTCTTGTTTTAGAGAGAAACATTCATACAGGCAAAAAGATCTGCCAGAAGTCCTGGAACTGGAACATCTTGAGGCTGGAATTCAAAACCAAAACCTGTAGGATTCCAAATTCTTACCGAAATGTAGTCTTCCAGTAGTAACTCAGCTATAAAATAACTGGGACTCAATAACCGGTGCTTTTTATGAGCAGTCAAAATAGAGTGGACTCAATCACAACTGAAATGGAAGGAACGCAAACTTTCCTATTACTGTTACTAAGCATATCACAGCTTTGGTTTGCGGACACCTGCACCTCTGTCACAGGATCATCTGCAGAGGTGTGTGCAGGTCAAAGCACCTACCATAGTGTCTGCTTCATGAAAGCTCAATCATCTTCTGCCTCAATTTTGGGAGATAAGTCACTAGAACTGTATGGTAAAATCTCTCCCTCTCCCTCTCCCTCTCCCTCCCTCCTCTCCTCCACCCCTCACTTCCTTTCCCTTCCTCCATCCCTTCTCTTCCTCCATCCATCCTCCTCCTATCACTCTTCTGTTTCCTTCCTTTCTAACACACACACACACACACACTGGTGCCCATGTGACCCATTTTAATTCTTCTCTTTCCTGCTAGTTTTCTCCCTAACAAGTGTACAACTACTCTGTCTCCAGGTGACTTTGGCACTGATTCCAGTAGTATTTGGAAATAAAAGCTTCAGTCATACGGCCCAGACTAAGCAAAATCTTTCAGCTGCCTCCTCAGAACTCCATTCCCATCCCATCAGAGGTCATGAAGGAAAATGACAATACTTTGTGGGAACAAAGAAGGAAGCAGTTTGGTAACTGAATATACTATACCTCTGCAGCAGGAACCAGGGCAGTTTCACAGGCTAGACAGAGTGAAGGGTGGGAAACAGATACAACGAGACAGGCAAGAGAACGGTAAGGTCTAATGATACTGACCATCACTTTCATCTCCATTTCTTTCTGCTTTTACATTCCCAAAGTTCTGTCATAATAGTCAAGATGTTAGGAAAATAAGGCTACAAGTCCTAGACTGAATAAGAGAGGTAGGATGCTGGCTATTTTTCCTGAAGCTTTAGTACAGAAACCTCAAGAATTCCTGCCAAGAACTGTAGGATAAAGTTGGGGGAAGTGTTTAGCTATCTGCTCCTAAACGCATTTCTATCCTCCTCTCTTCCAGCACATCTGAAGAAGAGATAATGGTACTACAGGTGGGTAAGACATCCAAATGCATTCGTCTCTATCTCCTGGTTCCTGGGGATAGAGATGAGCCAGAGGCAGAAAAACTTGGAGGCTTGGGCTTTGTGGTTAGGGATGTTTGACCGGCTGGTAGGTCATTGTGTACCAAGACCAGCTACAATTCCAAGGCCACTTCTATACCAGATGATTCCAGGGTCAGGAAGGGTCTATGAGTACTGATGAAGCAGGTAAACAGGTGGTTTCATTTGTGCCTGTCACTCGAGCTACATGAAGAGATAAGCAGGAGATATAGGCTAAAAATGACTCAGAGTAGGGCTGAAAGAGCCTTAGGGCTTTGTGAAGAATTGGGTGACTTCAGGCGTTCATCTCAGTTCCAAGATGTGTCTTTTGTCTCAACATTTCCATAATGTGTCAGATCAGATTCTGGGAGAGTTAGTTTAATACCCTCAGGATTTCTCTCTTATCTCAACAGGAAAGAAAAGTAACAATCACCAAAACTCTGTGGGACCAGGTGAGCACATTTCTCTACAGAACAGCAAGATGTGGAAGAAAGGAGATGGGTTTGAGAGAAGAGTAGATTTCTTTCTCTTCCCCTGAGCTGCTCGCTGGTTGATGATGAAAGGTTGCTCTCCTCCCTCCCAGCTTGTCCTGTTTCCCACCCTGTCCCAGGCTTTCAGAACCTCATGTCTCTGTATCTCTGCGGTTCTTCTGACACCCACCTCCTTGAGGCTGTCGTGAATCTTGTTTGTTCGAAGTCTGGCTTTCAGAGTGTTTAATCCCTCAGTTTTCAGTGACTGCCACAGACTTGAAAGCACCGGTTTGGTCTTTCTCACAGGTTCGGCATGATAGTCACACTCTGATCCCCACAATGAAGACTGATATGACTATGCATTTCCAAGCCATTTTATGTCAATTATTCACCACCTCTGCGAAGGTTTAGATTAAAAATCAGCCTGGAGGAGAAAGTTCCAGGTGAACTCCAGCTCTATTTTATTTTCTCTCCCCGCCAGACTCTCTGAAACAAGTAGGTAGAACTCCTGGGGTAAAAAAAAAAAAACATCCTTCAAAGTAAGGATGTTTTTAGAACACAAGAAGTATGGCTTGTCTGTGCAGAAAAGTGAATTCATCACTCTGGGGACACTGGCCACTTTTTGCAACAAAAGTGTGAGAAAAGAGGAGTACAGTTATGAAACTGTACTTTGGATATAAAGAATTGTCCCTCTTGTGTTAGGAAAAAAGACTTTTTATTCTTCTTCAAGGGATTTTTGCCTTAGAGATTAGGTTACATCATTTAAATTGGTTTAAAGAGTCAAAGCATGTCTTTCTTCATGGAAGATGGTTGAGTCCTATGTTGCATAATGAATAATTTAGTTGAATCCTACGAAGAGAGTATTTGGGATCTTGAAAATTATGAGCTTCATATGTAAATAGGCTCATTTAGTCGTCAATAGGACCATATTGCCTCAGTCTTCCAAGTGAACCAATGCCATGAGCCGTAAGTCTCAAGATCTGTATTATATTAAGCCCTGCTTTTCAATTTGATTTCTAAAATTGATTTAAAATGAACTTAAATTCAATGAATAGCCGAACACTTTCTCCTGTTAAAGTTGTGACTTGTTCACATTGACAAAATGTCGTTGATTTCCCAGGCATCTTGAAATGACAGCCAAGGTGGCCAATTCTCAAGCAGGAGAGTGTCAAGTTTGTATTTGAATGAGTACCAAAGCAAGTTATGCCCATCAGGCAGGCAAAGTGGACCATTCTAAACTTGCATAGAACACAGACATTTACTCATAGTTTCTAAGGGGATTTCTCACAGATATCAGCTACTTTAGCATCCCAATGTTGATATTTTGGTTGTATGTGTTATACACTTAAACTCTTGAAAACTAAAGAATAATGAATTACTTTTGATTTTATAGGACACTTGCCACATGGAACCAAGCGGGAAAAGATAGTTCACTGAATCAATGACTATAGATTTTTTTTTAAAAAAATTAAAATAGGTGAAATTCTCCACAGCCTGTCCTGAAAGCCCCTACTGAACATATTATATTAAATGAATACTGTGGCCAAATTTTTATTCTCTTATTTTCAGCAACTCTTATTATAAGTTCTACAGAAGGAAGTGATCTTAATTACAAGGCTTTACATTAGCATAACTATCTCATGCTCTTACATTACTGGATTAGCTAAAAAGTGAATCGCTTGCATAAAGGTCAAAGCTTATCCTGTTGAGAATCTAAAATATAACTAAGGGGGGGGGGTACAAAGGGTTGTGAAAAGCTGTAAGTTGATAACTGACACACTCTATCCCTTTTGAATATTCATTTTTCACATGCACTCTTATACACAAATTGAAATTCCTGAATATCTAAATATCATATTTCCACCAAGTAAGATATAGTAGTCTATCTTAAAGTTATTGCCCTTCCCTTCAAATGAGATAATCCATAGCAACTATTATTGTATTTATCCATGCCTAGGCAAGTATATATATGCTTATTCAGTCTTATGAGAAACTGCCAGAACTTCTTCCAAAGTGTCTGTGTGACTTCACATCCCCTCTAATAACAAATGAGAGTTTCAGCTGCTCTGCGTCCTCACCGACATTCCATCCTGTCCTCCAGTAGATTATACCTAAATGTAACTAAATGTTTATTTTAATAACTATGCATAGCTTCAGAACAAGGACCAATTAAAAAGAAGGTAAGTATAATAGTAGGCTTCATTACACATTCTGTCAGAATTCAGCCCTCCTTAAATGGTGTACTGTATTTCCCTAATTTCCATATGAAGAACTGAAAACCAAGAGGTCGGGTAGAATGAAACTGAAGAGACTTTATTGCTGGAGACAGAAAGCCACACTCCACAGCCTGATGGCTAGATCAAGTGATTAGGTCCTTCTATAAAAATCTGTTTGACAAAGTGAAGTCTATAATGCTAATTTTTCTATATTTTTGTCTTCTGACAGGTACTGTCAGCTTTTAAGGATATACAAAAGGAGGTAAGATTATACTTTGACAGCACCTGTCTGGCAAGTGCAAGGTCCTAAGTTTGATTCCCAGTACCAAAAAGAAAGAAACAGAGAAGGAAAGAAAGAAAAGAAAGAAAGAAAGAAAGAAAGAAAGAAAGAAAGAAAGAAAGAAAGAAAGAAAGAAAGGAAAGAAAGAAAAAGAAAGAAAGAAAGAAAGAAAGAAAGAAAGAAAGAAAGAAAGAAAGAAAGAAAGAAAGAAAAGAGAGAAAAAAGATTAAACTTTGATTCTCTAAATTTCCTGGCCTCATCACCTTCCTGCATCCCAGTTTTATTCCCTAATGACATGGTGACTCAACAAGTTTTATCTTTATTTATCTCAGTGATTTCTCCCTTTAGAAATACCATTGATGTGTCTGTCCAGACAACTAAAGCAAAAAGAAACCTAATATTTTCTTTGAGGAACTTTGATGATCTATAGAGAAAATTACATTTACGGTAATTTCTCTCAGGAATGTAGTTATATGAAATGCTGAGAAATGACCAAGTTGAAGGGAGTACACAAGTAATATTATAAAACGCCTTATTAGATAAGTGTGTTTATTAAATGCAGGAAAGTACAAACTAAGGAGAAAGGCTTTTGGGATAAACAGAAACAATTCTCTGATCTTACTCTATGTAGATTTCAATCTCTTCTGAATACTGATCAAATATTTAAATAATATAGTCAAACATGCAATACATTATTGGTCTGCCAAAGATGCTGAGGTTTCTTTGTTGTTGTACTGGGTATTGAACCTGGGGACTTACTACTGAGCAACATCCCCAAACCTTTTCATTTTTTATTTTGAGATAGAGTCTTACCAAGTTACTAAGCTGCCCAGACTAGGCCCAAACTTGCACTCTTCTTGCCTCGGGTTCCCACAACAGTACAGGCATGCACCACCACACCTCAGTACGCTGAGTTATATTAACTTTCTCGAGGTCCTACTAAGTTCACTATTGCATTTTTTCTGCTTTCTGCTACAGTGGAGATGAATAGGCACTCTCTATACACAAGTACTCATGACAGACTATTCCCATAGGCTATAAAAATAGGGAAGAATGTAATTTAGGACAGGACAGCACAAATATAAAACGAGGACAAACTGGAAACTTCTATACAAATTTCTTGGCTTTTGTTCCTCTGAATGTAGATATAATTTCAATAAAACTAGAATCTAAATATAATATTAGCCTCCTGCAATCTCACGAAAAGTAGCTCTCTCTTCCTAGTTGGGAAGGAATAACAGACAGAGACTGAGCTCACACCGGAAATAACCCTTCTCTCTTTCACCATCTAGATCACTTTTGGCCTTAGAATTTAGCCTTTAGAGCCGGGCTTGGTGGCGTACTCCTGTAATCCCAGCACTCTGGAGGCTGAGGCAGGAGGATCATTGCGAGTTCAAGGCCATCCTGGGCTACAAAGTGAGCTCAAGGCCAACCTGAACTGCACAGTGAGACCCTGTCTCAAAAAAGACAAAAAAAAAAAAAAAAGAACTTAGCCTTTGGTCCAAGCTACTATGTCACTGTATTCTGCTAAGGCATCTGGGACTTACTCAGGAAAATCATGGCAGCCTTTGCCTCCACCTGTCTGTGGGTAAAAGGGGCATCAGAAGTTTTGCCTCTGTGGTCAGGATGCCTCCACCTTACCCAGAACATAGGTTTCCTTAGGTCACAGTCTCTTCAGGAAAGACTTGAGCTAGTGGCAGAGGAGGTTTGTCCAAAGTGGGTCTTGCATGTGCTGATGCCCAGCTGCTGGCTCTCGGGAGCTTAAAGGACCCCAAATCAGCAGCTCCTTACTCGGAAGTGAGTGATAAGGGTTACTTAAAAGTTCCTTCACAAGTAGTTCAACCTCCCCTACAGAGAAACACGGGAGACTCAGTGAGGACACTGAAAGGGGCCAAAAAACTCACAACTAAGAGGCCGATAGAAGAGTGAGTTCGTTTTGTGAGTAGTTAAGGACGTGAGTAGTGAACTATGTGTCTCCCACCCTTAAGGGCCAGCAGCTTGCTTCTACATACTTACCACTTTGTTAGGCATACATTGAGCATACACTGCGTGCACAGCACTGGCTGCAATGTTCGGCCTGAGAGATACAAAGACAGTACAAATTCTGCTTTCAGGAAATACAGAAATCAGTTCCATTCCCAAGAAGCCCATATTTCCCATAGACCTCTCTATAGCTGCCGGGCCTATAGCTGGTATATTCTGAAATCCCAGGACCAGTCTCTTGGGTTACTGACTTGCTGAATTCTCATTATTTTTCAGCTGCAGGAAGATGCTCGGATTCGAGGTAAAAAATATATATATTTTTTTAATTGGTTTTTTTTTTTTTCATTTCAAGGTTTGGTAAGAGATGAAATCTACAGGGGAATAAGAAAGAGTTTATCTCAGAGTCTCATTTTAGGACCTTCCCTTGGGTTTAAAGCTGGGCTCCAGGTCCTCTTTCTTCCCTCTTCAGTCGGATGGGCACTGGCTCTCCTTACAGCCTCCCTGAACACACTAGCCCCATGGTGGTGAATGTGTGGTACGCACACCACAGCCGGCCGGCTGTCATCACTAAAAGCTCTGAAAGGTTCACTGTCACTGCAAGTCCCTCCTTTCTCCACCCCAGCTACCAAGTGTCTTATTGCTTCAGGCTGTTAGAATATCACAGACTGGATAGCATAAACAACCTGATTTTTCCCCAAGTCTGGTCAATTGCCTCTACTCCAGAATAAGAAAATATGGTCCAATGTTGTATGTCTGTTAATGTTTCCCTCCTTTTATCTTTAAAATAAAAAAAAAAAAAGAAAATATGGTCTGGCAGAATCCATCATGAGAACTGAGAAAACCTTTCTCATTGTTGACCCCTCAGGGACAAAAGGCCCAAGGGTCAGGCTTACCTCTGCTTTGAGGGTTGTTCTTTATCCAGGGAGTCTTGATTTCCAAAGAGGTAGCTGGCGGGCCTTGGCAATATATGCTTGATTACCCAGCTGTAAAAATGTGAATTTATGATCTAGCTGCTGTTATTTCTCTGCACCCTGAAAGGTGGGGAGGAAGGGTTGGATTTGGGGGAGTGAAGAGAATTCGTTTCATGGTATCCTTCTTCCATACAAAAAAGAGAGATAGGAAGTAAGAAACCATAACTGGTTCCACTGGCAGTGCTCTCAGACGGAAGTATTCGGCTAGCTCTAAATTATGTCTTGGCTGAACAGAACTCCGGGGACTATGATTCACTACGCTTCACAGATGTCTTGTGCTACATTCTGCAACCACTTCTCTGAAATAAGTCAGGCCCCTCCTACTTTAGCTTGCTAACTCCAAATGGGGGGTGTGAGCTTGGAAACTGGAGGGATATTTCCGTACCCTGTAACAGAATACTTCCTTCCTGTATCCACCCCAGGGATGAGCAACTGTACTGTAACACCTATCTCATCTGCACCCAGAACTGGGTAAGTGTCGCTAATCTAACAGTTTCTAAGGGGAATAGCACCCACCTGGAAATGGGTGTGATGACCAGGAATACAGCTAGGTCTGAACCTTGACCCTGCAGAAGATACTTCCAACTTACTTCCAATGCACCTCTGATACAGAGCAAGGGTTGGTCCCCACCACCCTTAACTGAAGGGGAACTACAAAGCTACGAAAAAGAGGTAAAGAATCAGGGTCTTAGAAAAAATTATAAACAAAATTCAAAAATGGTTGGTGTACCAGTGCCCCAACATTGAGAGATGTGAGTTCATTTTCCACAGAAAAAGACAAGGAGAGAAAGTATCAGACTACCATACAGGGATTTAATTTAGATTAGATTTAATTGGGATGACTTCCAATAGTGACAGTGGAGAAACAGAGAATTAAGTAGTCAAGAAAAATTGCAACATCATGCTGTAGAGAGCTTTAACAATGCAAACATTTTTTAAATATTAGTTTGAAATCCTTCAGGTATGGTCATGCCTGAACCAAGAAATGAAGAAAATGAACTCCCTAAATCACTTTTGAACAGAGTTTGTTTCTGTCTAAGAGAGTTAGCCCTTGGGAAATAGAACCATGCCATTTAAAGAGATCAACCATTGTGCTACAGCTTTCTCAGAGCTAAAACTATGGAAGGGACAATTGAAAGTTCTCCTCATACTTACATAATTTCTAAATGTATTAGTTATAAACTTTCACATAAACAGCACTTTTGACTGGTCAAAATTCTCTTGAATCTACAATTTTATTTAATCTGATGATTTTTTTTTAACAGACAGACAACCTTTTACAATATAGAAAAAGAACAGTACAGACAATACAGAGTTACAAACATGTGGTAGGAAATTAGCAATGCTTGTAGTATTACATATTGATATCTTCAAAGTGGTTTCTCATGAAAACAGATAGAGACATGCAATATTGACCAATCAAGGACTCA